TGAAAAGACTCGGACCGGTCGACTCGGCGAAGAGCAGTCGGCAGTTTTTGATACTCATGCAATTAAATGAGGCTCAGTAAATGTGTTGCACAGTGTTGTCGAACGTCAAAATACTAAATCGGGAGAAACTAACGTTGAGAATCGATAGATTACAGCGCAAAATCGGTAGGTATAACACAAGGATAATACACACTACTAAGGATTGCTTATCGGCATCGATTTCGGTAATCGCGGCCATATTGGTGTATCACCATTACGGACGTCATTAACTAAATCGTCAGCTGTTTGCCCTAGCGGTCCTCCTAGTTTAGAATTTAAATTTATGATTAAAAATATTATTTAATTTTGATTAACATAATAGGCAAAGAGGAAGATGCTAACGAGATCTGAACAGGAGTTCTTATTGTTAATAATGTAGTAAGACCAAGTATGGTATGCATAAGGTAAAAGACCGCAGAATCATAACCTGTGATGCAAACAGTGCCTATGTCAAGGCGACGAACGACGTGCTGCTTACGTCACAACTGGTGATTTGGCATAGTGGGGGGCTTTAGATTTGTTCTACACAGGTCTTATGAGGATATGCTATCCTGTAGTTGTAGTGTGTATTATCCTTGGGTATAACCAGTGAGTATAACATAAAAACTAAAATCCAGCCGTGCTTTCCTTTAAGCTTTCTATTTCGTTGAGTATGAAAAAGTTCAGTGATTGTTTCCGTGGAAAGTCTATCTCTTTGTACTGTTTTCATTTGATTTATTGCTGAGAATGTGCGCTCAGCACCGGCGAGAAAATGGGACAATAACAAGATATTAAAAACAAATTCGGATATCACAGGACCCACAGGTATTCTCCGATGAAAAAATCGGCGAAAACAAAACCGATAAAATTGATTTTTTTGGCGAAAAACGGTAAAAAAATCGGTAGAATCGTATTTATTATCGAAAATCGGTAGAAATTCATCAGTATTCGGTATTTCGGTAGGTCCGTTGCCATTTTGATAGAAATACCGAAATTTCGGTAGATTTGACAACACTGGGCATCGACAGAAAATGCAAGTCTAAACGCAAAACTGGGTTTTTGACATCAGTTTGTCACAACAAATTGATCTCAAAAATCGGGTATTGCGTTAAACATGGAATTGTGTTGGTGCAACATCCCATTAATGTGTGATAGGCATTGAAAAAAAATTATAACGTATGTGAGATTTCAAACATTTGTACATAAGCAGTCATTTTGCCTTTTGATAGGTATTCAGTTGTTTTGATAGTAACTACTAAATAAGGGTGGCAGTTGGCAGACGGGAGAAAATTGCAATTTAACAAACATATGTGCAACTTATGTAACTTATTGCGGTTTCTGCCATATTGAAAATATGCATATTCCATAACTACATTTCACGTAACCAAATGGCAGACGGGTTAAAAACGTTCATCATATGAACAATTTTTGTCGCAATTTTGTTCATTTTTTATTAGGACTTGTACCAGCCTGCAATTTCTGCCAGTCAAAACTTAGGCTTTTGGTAGCAACTTATTTAATATAAATTAATGGCAGACGGGAAATAATTGATCTCAACTTTGAAAAATTTTGACATTTTGAAAAATTAAAAATAAATATTTGTACCACTTCAATTTTTCTGCCGGTGCAAAGGTACATTATTTATCTAAAATCCATTGCAACAAAACATGTTTTAGGCGGGAGAAAATTGTTTCAACATCTCAGCATTTTGATACAACTTCAAAAATTGTTAAATATTATTATACCAACCGAGATTTTCTGCCATTTACTTATTGATGTATTACATCGTAAATGTAACATAAATTTAATTTGGCAGACGGGAGGTCGTTGATCCACATGTCAGATTTTGGCGACATTTTAAAATTAGTAATATGACACATTATATTAACCTAGGGTTTCCGCCGTTTAGCTTCTTTGTACTAATTTTTGTTAAAATTACCTTTACAATGTGTGGCAGACGGGATAATATTGGTCCACATCTCCACTTTTCATTACATTTTCAAATTAGCATATCACTGTATTGTCACACGCGGGGCTCTTTGAAATTTCAGCCATTCCACTTCTTATTGCATAAAGAATAATCACCCTTAATGGCAGACGGGAGAAAATCGTTTCAAAAAAATGGTCATTATGCACCGGTCTATTAGTGTGTGTGTCCAGATGCAATCACAGGTCAGTTGAATAATTGTTATTTTGTTTTTGAGAGTTCCATTATTTGTACAAGTATCATTTTTTTCATTTTTATATTTTTTTGGTTTATTTATAACATGTGCATTGTTCATGTATTTAACAAAAATCGTTTCATGCTGTAAACAACACAGATAAAGAAGTAAATTAAAACCTAAGAAATTATGTGCTGTCTTTTTGTGCTGAGATTTTGATTTTGTGTATTCAGAGTGTGTATTAGTGCCTTGTTGAATTTACTAACATTTTCCTACCCTGACGAGAGAATATCCTAACAAATTGAAATAATCAATCTAGAGATATTGGCTCAAAAACAACTATAGCTGTGAGTTAGCGTAACCAGGGACCTCAGTACCTGCCACAGATGGGCTAACTAACAAAAACTCTTCAGTATTGATTATAGGTAGTGTTGATTGAGTGTAGTGTGTGTAATTAAAATTTTAGCACAAGAACAAGTACCTAGTTTCAACTTTTATTGAATTAATGACTCACAATTATTATTAAAATGACACAGTTTGTTTCGATTTTTGAAGAATGTAGATCGAGGTTTTCTATGCCGTGCTCTTTTCCCTCGTTAGTTCCAGGTTGAGAACGGTACGATTTACTTTAATAATAAAGTAGATGTTTCACAAATTTTTCGTTTCTTTCACATATCACAACTTTCCTTAAAAATATTTGCTATGTCGGGCGCATTTCCAGTAAGTAAAATTGAGTAAGTTCCCACAACGTAGGCCCTGTTTGTTTTTCATTTTGTTTTTCAGAAGTTTTGTTGTTTAAAAGGTAATAAAAATTCTCATCGTTCAATCTTACCGAACGAACTGGGGTATGTTATACTACAGCCTTCTGGAAGGCGTTTTGTAACTTTCAACCTGAATCCTAAGATTCAGGCGCTTTTCAGAATGTTTCTGAAGATTGTCAAGTGTTTTACAGCGTCCTAAAATCCTAAAATGGGTTTCAAACTTCTAAATTGTTCTAAAATGCTTTTGCAAAATGTAAATTCGTTTTTGAATGTTTTGGAGCATTTTTAAATGGTTCCTAAGCTTCCAAATTTTTCTGAAGCGCTTTTGGAAATTCTGAATTGAATTTAAAGTGTTCTGAACTTTCGAAAGGGACTATTAAAGTTCTAACGTGTTCTGTGGCATTTCAAATGGTTTCCAGTAACTTCACTTCTAAATTGGATGAGAAACGAATTCTGTGGAAAGTTTTTGTGGACATCTCAAAAACGACCCTAAGATGTCCACAAACGTCATTCAAGACGTTTTTTAGACGTCTGATAATAGGTAACGTGTTCAAGGCATCTTAAAGACATCTTGAACACATCGTATATGTTATAAAAAAAAAAATACAAAACCCAACGTGGGCCCGGTTGTACAAAATAGAGTGGCTCAGTTCTCTTTGAGATGTGAAATTACGATATCTTATAGACGTCTCCCTGACGTCTTTTTATGGTCTTCAGACGTTCAGACACAATGCACACGTCTTTAAGACTCTGTGTACTGTTTGGGTTTTATCTACAACCGTTTAGTTATATCATTTTTACATAACTATTTTTCTAGTATTTGAGTGATATTATGAGACTCATAAAACTAGTTTGTATGATAACAAATTTTACCTTTTTTTCATTAAATATATTGTGGTAAACAGAGTATTTTGGAAATTATAACCCAGGCCACCCTGTAACATATAAAATAACCATAAAGCCATAAAAAGATACCTAACATATTTAATAAACGGAAATTAAAACATCTTGTTTTTCGCTTGTAGATAAAACGTTGTACATCACACGTGCGCTTAAACATGAGTACAAAACTAGTGTGATTAGGACGACTCGGCCTACGACCTCGTCGTTCTAATCTCACTCGTTATTGTAATCATGTTCATAAACGCTCTTGTAATGTGAATAACTATTATCACATTTTTGACAGTAAGTAATTGGCATTTCAAATAGAGCACTCGCGCGCTCCACTCCCTCGTATTAGATACACAAAACTAGCCACAATCAATTGGTAAAACCTCTACTAAACCTAGTTCCTAATGTACTAATATTGAACTAATTAATAATTCTCATATATCTAAGCTGGCTCCGACTTTCAAACTATGCACATTGGATACAAAAATATCCAATCGAGAAATCTCTAGAATCAAGTAAATGCTTGGCGGCTTCATCACAGGTCGATACAGTAGCGGTACTGCAAATATCATATGAATACTTTACCACATTAAATTTACTATTCACATGAATCTGCATAGTATAGAATTAGATACCTACCTTTGTCATTATTTAGGCCGCCTAATATGTTTCGATTTCGACTGAGAAGTTGCTCAGTTGCTCAAGTTCTTGAAATAAAGTTTCTCCGATTCCATGTATTCCGAAATATTCGATCATTTATACTTGATTGTTGAATGGCGATAAAGAACTTACAGTTAATGTTCTCTTGAAATGCAAATGTAAAACAATGTTTTCTTCTTTCTTCTTCACTAGAACTGTTTTGAAGGCCAAAAAAAAGAAACATGAGAGACTATCAAATCTGCACTGAAGAAACGATTTTGATATCTTTATGGTAAGTAAGCACACATGAATAGAACAAAACATCACTTAACAATTACTTTATAGGAAGTCTTGAAGGATCACTGAACATTTCTTGCATAGTTTGTTCTATGGTAAAACTGTCGTGTCAGTAATTCAGTGTAGGGCGTTCTGAAAACTGGGTTGCTTGGGATCAGGAGAAACAAAGAATGCCTATAGCGACTGAATTGTTGATAAATTTTGTAATAGAGGTGAATGATACTTGTTAAATCTAGACTCTAGACTGAGAACTATTGAACTTTATTTCATTAACAAGGATCATAATTTTGATTTTCAAATGTCTTTGCTGTTCTTCTGTCATATTTTCCAAAACGGGTAGCAAGCTTAGTAAAAAGTGGTGCATGGGACTGATATCCGGTTCATTTTCGAAATCCCTCGCATCTTCAATCCTACTGGTTTTAGCTTTCAAATAATTAATAATTGTTTGCTCGCTTTCTGTTATTTCACGTTTGCGATATCGACCGGAGTTAGAACTAGAAGAAGTAGACGCTGTCTCTGGCAGGTGGTGTACTGTTTTTTGTTCTCTTCTTACTAGTTGGGGCTGATTTGGTTCATTTTCTAAATCATTATCTTCATTTTGCGAATTTTCATTACGATTATTATCTAAAACTGACTCATTTGCTAGATTTTCACTGCTTTCAATTTTAGGAGTAAGTTCTGGAACAATCCAAATGTTTTCAGACTTATTCTGCATGTTATCTTTAAGATGATAGGGTTTTTTTGGTTTGAATCCACTTGCACGGGCCATTTTTCTTTACACTCTCGAACTGTAACAAAAAACGATTAAAAAAAAGCTTTTGTGAGAGAGCTTAGTAATCACTATAGTAAATGAAACATCTGGGTCAAGAAACCGCGTATGTTTCTCAACAATAAGGTAGTCCTGGATTTTGTCGACACTCAGATTTGTATGTAGGACACATTGAGAATATACAACGGAGCGCCGACCATCCTTAGGATTACCCTGTCTTGAAACGTCTTTAGTTTCCTCTTGTTTTGCGTGAAGTCTGAGAAAAAACTGATGCGCCGTAAAGTAAACAGGGTTTTATTGTATTGTATAGTAAAAGTTTGTATAGTAAAAGTTTCGTCGTCTTGCATACGAAAAGGCGTATCTAAAAAATCCTAATTTTACAGGAGAGCGGTTTGAAATTTTTAATACAATCAAAATTTTGGTCACACAAATACAATAAGGTTTGTGTTTGTATTGCTGTTATTGGGTGTTTTCAATCAGAAAAAAAAACAAACAGCAATAAAATATCGACTAAAGACATAATTTAAAGGGCATATTAAAAAAACTCGATTTTTTGAGATACGCCTTTTCGTATGCAAGACGACGGTTTGTTCTTAAGAGTTAAATTACTGTCCTTGTTAAGTAGTGGGAAAGCAATCCTACTAATCTGTTGGATTTGTTCAATTTGTGCCATGATATATTCCTAACTCTGGTTCAACTTATTACCTTCAACTTCAACTGGTACCATTCAGTTGTTCTACTTGCGGTTTGCGACACAGATTAGTTATTCACAGATAGAAACTGTGTTAGTTATAGTCAAAAATATTCCTTTAACGATATAGGAATATTTTGTGTTCCAAATTTCGGTCAATGGTTAGAAAGAGGTAGAATGAACCTACCAGTCAATGCTTGATTGCCACATGGTGGCAGCCGGGAAATAGTCCCATTTCGTGGGAGAGCGTTTTCCCTAAAATGCTACCTGATAAGACCAGACCTCTGACCCTATACAAATACTAAATGATAGAAAATTTATCTTACCAGCAGGGAAAGAAAAACCATCGTATAGGTTTTTTACGTTATATTTAGGATGACGTCATAGAACAAAAAGAGACAATGTTGTCAATGCCTATTTTTTTTCTTATAATTTATCGGAATGTCACGTGATAGCAGACCTATCTATTTTACCAACCAAAGAGGTAATAATACGAAAACTTCATTAGATAAAAAAAGACACAGAACGCTCATTGCGCAAGACGAGGCAAAATGTACCAAATTTTGTTAAACTTACGTATGGCAATCCATCCTCGTTATTTGCACGGGATAAAAAGAGAAGAAGAAAAACCGCGTGTTTTGCAACGTATTTATCAATGAAAATTTCAAACTACTTTTGAGTGTTACTTGTCAAGCTATGTCAAGTTGAATATCAACCGTACTTTTATTTTTGTCAGACCACGAGCAATGAACAAGGACAAGGAGATGTCCAGCGTGCAAAACGAAGACTTCACACCTGTACTAGTTAGCTAATAAAAAGACTTGCCTCATGTTGCGCGCGCATACCAGGTAAAAATAGATTAGGTCTTTTCTGTCAAACGAAACGGAAAATAGGTAATTTACTTACATGCCTCACAGCAGTAAGAAGCAAAAATGGTCGCGTTCCTGCTGGAAATACGTTATTAAGTATACTACCCTTTCCTGAGGCCGACTCCGAGAAACTTGCTGGCATTTTCTGAGTAAGTTTACGCTACGAAGAAGTACTGAATTCTTGAAAGAACTTTTTTCTAACTGTAACGTATTTTTGGCACTTAACTAGAATTACCTATACAAAATAGTTAATAATAAATTATTAAGCTTAAAATAACGAAATGAATCGACACGCATTATTTGAAAATGTTTATATAAATCATGCAACGTCGCGCGCCGTTGCCAACCAAAAACATCTGAAATTGCCCTACTTTAAATGCGTTAAAAAGTACTTTTAGTTTTGTTAGGTTGGCAGCAGAAATTTACTAAATGTGACGTCATCCTAAATATAACGTAAAAAGCCTATATGTGGTTTTGATATCACGACTTAAAAATTTCAAGTAGCTGCTAATGTGGTAAAAAATTCTCTAGGTACAGTTGCGATAAAAAAAAAGTAGTACAAGAAAAATCTCCAAAAACTCCTGGTCTATTATACATTAATTTAATTCATAACCAAAAATGACATATTTTTGGCATTTTTCAACAAGTTTCTAACCCAGGAAGTTTCAGATAACATTACTTTGGCATTTTCCACCCGCTTTTAAGCTAGAATATGTCATTGCCTGAACTCAACATACCTATTTTGAAATGTTTATTTACTGTCAAAATTTTATATGTTACACCGGGAGCTCACATTGTGGATAATAAGTTTTGTACTACTTTTTTTTGAACGCAACTGTACAGTTGCGGTCAAAAAAAAGTAGTACAAGAAAAATCTCCAAAATCTCTTGGTCTATTATACATTAATTTACTTGATAACCAAAAATGACATATTTTTGGCATTTTTCGACAAGTTTTTAACCTAGAAAGCTTCAGATGACATTACTTTGGCATTTTTCCACCCGTTTTCAGCCTAGAATATGTCATTGCCTGTCAAAATTTTGTATGTTAGACCGGGAGCTAAAATTAGGGTTAATAATTTTTGTACTACTTTTTTTTGATCGCAACTGTACATCATAAATATAATAAAAATTGCTTGAGTTATACATAATTTCCTTGAAAGTAAAACTTAAAAGGCTAGGGATACACAATATTCGATAGGTATACTAACATACGAACCTCAGCAAAAAACCTTAATGAAAAATTACAAATTCTAAGGAGAGAATATTCACTCAAATATACAACATCTGTGTGTGACCACATATTTAGTTTATCACTTTTATTAAGCCAAATGCTAGCATCAGATGGCAGTATAATTGGCACTTGGGGGGGTAAAGGGGTATAAGTCGAAAATATGCGAAATTGGGTTAAGTTTGCCACGATACTTCTAAATTCATTCTGTACCACTGGGAAAAGAGATATAAGTCATTTAAGCTTTCTAAATGTGCCATTTTTATTTGTGAAAAAGGATATAACTACAGAAATTGTCAATTTTTCTGTGAAAAGTGGGATAAGTTTTGTTAAACCTTACTCACGAATGCAATATGAAAAATATTATTGTGAGAATTTCATACATCTGTCAAAACTGGTATTCCAACAATAAATTGACATGTTTCGATTGTTGATTTGGACCAATCAGATTGTAATTACGCGATAATTTGCACTAGTGCAAATTATCAGATAATGGGCTTGTTACCGATATTTTTTTTTCGTTATTTTTTCTATATTATTCAATTGAATTCGATCATCTTAATAAGCTGTTAAAATTTCAGCTTCATAGGTTTATCCAATTCTTAGATATTCAATGTTAAAGATTGGGTTTCGGGAAAAAGCGCGCTGCCGAGTCGTGACGTCATTCTGCATGAAGACGACGCGGGCACCCGTTCGCGAACGCGTTTTGAGTCTGCTTTTCGACAGTTGATTTTGACTTTGGTGACTTGACAGTTACTAGAGGTGTTTATTTTAAATTTTCTGTTATTGTTATTAATTATTTAGAGTATTCAAATTTGGACTATTTAATAAATTTGATTTACTAGCAATGTTTTCGGTTGATAGAGGTTTCATAAAAGCAGATTCTGGTAATTTACCAGAAGTAGATATGTTTATGGTTTTTGATTATTTCAATAAACATAAAGACTTTATAAGTGCAGAAATGAGGGGGATAAAGTTGCTTAGGTAAGTAAAAAATATTACTCTCAATGCCTGTTTTATATTTAATCCCATATTAAAAATTAAATTAGAAATTAAACTGAAATAAAGTTTGTTTTTTTTTGTTCAGATAACTGAAGGAATCGTAATAGAGTAAATAAATAATATGGTACTTTACCCAGATGCTCTAATATATTTCAAAGAAAAACTTTCGATTTCAGGTCTGGCAGACAAAGCTATGGTGATAACGCTATTGGATATGTACAACTCAAACAACAAGCAGCGCTTTGTGAATTAAAAGCTAAAATCACCCCAGAACACAAAATAAAATCGAAAAATTATACTGTGCTCTGTGTTATTAATACTGAAGAAAAGGAAGTTGTTAATACAAAATGTCAGGATTGTGCTGCGTCTGAAGGAGGGTGTAAGCATGAAGTTGCATTTTTGATGTGGCTGCATCGACGAAGCGAGGAACCTTCTCCGACAGAGAAAATCTGTTATTGGAAAAAATCAAAGTTATCATTGGCTCCAACAACAAAAAAAACTATTTCCCCAGCTGATTTTGGAAAAAAAAATTACAGCTACTTATGATGACTCGGTGTTGCTAGAATATATTAGTGAAGCCAAAAAGCAAAAGGTAGAAAATAGTTTAATGCGATATCATAGCACTGACAAATATTCCAATCTTTCAATCCATAACCTTGCTATTGCCTTTAAAAATTCTGCACCACAAGGAAAAAATTCAAAACTTTTTATAGAATTTTGTAAAACCAAAATGAAAGCTGAATTAATTTTGGAGGTAGAAAGAGATACCAGAAAACACAGTGATAGTATCATTTGGCAGGAAATGAGGTATGGACGGATTACTGCATCAAAAGCTCATAGTGTTACCAGATGTAAAACTGTGGATGGATGCTTAGTAGAAAGTATTTTAGGAGCAAAATTGATTCAAACTAAAGCAATGAAGAGGGGACTATATCTAGAAAATGATATATTGAAATTATTAGAAAAACAAACTGGACAAAGGTTCTTTAAAGCGGGAATATTCCTTTCCCAACAAAATCCATTGATAGGTGCCTCTCCAGATGCTATCAACAAAGAATTTGTAGTTGAAATTAAAAGTCCAACTACCGAAAAATCATGCCTAAATTACATAGATTCAGATGGAAATATTAAAGAAAAATGCTTGTATCAAATTCAAATACAAATGTATCTCAGTAAAAAAATGCATGGAATTTTTGTTATGTCGCATCCCGATTTTGAAAAATCAAAAAAAATTACAATAAAATATTGCGATTTTGATGAGGAACTTGTTAAATCAGTAATAAAACAACTTGATGAATTTTGGCTGGACAACATTTTTAATAAAATTATGTGAAATATTATTTTTGTTTATTTTACTAAATAATCTTGTAAATTAATTACCCCACAAACTATTTGCACTATTAAATCTAAATATTTCACTAAACTTAAATGAACCGCAGCATGTGGTTGAAGAATAGCAAATTCCCTTATTCTGGAAATCACTCGTTCTACATGTATTCTCAAGCTTGCAATCCTTTTTGACTCCTTAACTTCTTGCTTAGAACTTTTTTGGTCAGACGAGACAGATGGTGGTCTAACCAATTGATTATTATTGGCTGCAAGTTGGTCTTCGAGATGCTTAAAGCCTCTGTCGGCCATCACCTGGGCGCCTGGATTCAAGTTTTTTAAAAATGTCGATTCCTCGACTATCATTTTATCAGTACTTCTACCACCAAAACCAGAAGAAATATAAGTAATGAATCCATTTGGTGTACATGCTATTAAGTATTTCATAGTGTTACAACCTTTATATTCTGACCATGAGAGGGACTGTAGTATTGGGTCACTTGGTTTTTGTATTGAGATTTCAAAACAATCAATAATACATTGGACATTTTTATATCGGTGCCTAAAGGGAATAGGTAGTTTTTCTTGAACCTCGGATAATGATTTAAACTGAACAAATGGATAAAGGCAACCAGCTAGTAACGGTATTGTTTTTTGAATAATATTACATATTTTAGCAACTTTTATACTAAAATCATCGGCTAATATTCTGTAGGATAAATTCAGTTTGATTTTTTTTAGAGTTAAAAAAATATCCAATCTGTCCAATCTACATTTTTCAGCTAGCATATTCACAATGAATATTGAATGGCTAGGAATACCTAAATAAAGTTTTGGATTTTTTTCTATCAAAAAAAATGTTCTCTTTTGTATCTCTTCTGGAAAATTTATATGCTTTCCACAATCCGAATTTGACACTGAGGACACGCTCAGTTCTGATGATAAAATGAATGTTGATGTAGAGCCGCTTGTAGAAACTGAATCGTTATTAGTGTTTTCTTCCAACCGCATTTCCTTCGGAGCCCTTTTCTTAAAAGGACATTTTCTTTTTTTTCCAGTATTTGGGATTGGCAAGTCTTCACTTGTACACTGTACTCCCTTGCTACGGATATTAGCCTTAAATACAACTTGAACGCCCATATCTTTAAACTTTGGTTCCATTTCCACCACATTTTCCTGCTCGACGATCTCATTCTGAATAGATGCTTTAGAAAGTAATAAATTACTAATTATAGATTTTTGTTCTTTTTTTTGCAAAACCCTTGATGGTTTCGACTTGTGTGTATTGACTCGACTTTTTTGGCAATCAAAAAACCTTGGTACTACTTTTGGCTCGAGTCTAATATTTCCCTTTTTCATCGTTTTTATGTACATATAATTTTCTATGTCTTCTTTTATCTAAAATAGGATAGGTATAAATGAATTTCTGCTATCACATTGGCATGTTAATAATTAAACTTACATCAAAATGATCTTCACAGCAATGAACGTGGGATTTGTCGGAAACAAAAACATCTCGGCGCATAGCTTTTTGCCAAAGCTTTCTAGTAACAGGATCATAAGGCATGCATGCTGATAAAAAGCTTTTCTGGGGCATTTTCGGAAGTGTTAGGACACTCCGGAACCACACAATATTTTCTAGAACCTTTATTATCACTCATATTAAATAAGATAAACACAAAAATCACAATATAAATATAAACGCAGTTTGTAAACATAAACACAATAAACGCTTGTATCTCAACTGTCGCACGGCACGATCAGCAGCTGCATAGTGACGTCACACGAAGCTCCGCCCCTTTTTCGCGCGGTCCAACTTTCTTAATTTATTTAAGGGCCTAAATGTTGAAATAAAAATCTAAAAATTTGGAGAATGACTTAAAAAGTGTTCCACTTTCGATTTATAAAATAAAAAAAAAATGTTGAACGAGCCCATTGCATACTAACTGGTGCGAAAACTGGTGTTTTGACATTTTTTGACAAAAAATTTAAATTTTTGATTTATGAAATTCTCTCATTAAATAGGTACAACTCGTGCAATGGAAATATATTTATAATTTTCGACAAATTTGCACTCATGCGTTTTTAACTAAAAATGCATTCGGGCAAATTTCCCAAAAATTATCAATAATTTCCATTGCACTAGTTATATTACTATTGAAAAGAAATATAAATATACTTGTACTTTTTTTTAGGTTCAAATTATTTGTGAAAATGGATATAGTCCAACTAATACCATTTTAAAGTCACGTGATTTTTCTCTATCCTTGTTGAATACATCTCAAGCAGCGGTGATAGTAAAATTGACAAAAAAATTGCTGTCTAATTATTGTTCATAAAATTCTTACCTGAAATAGAATCCGTCACTGTCATCAATTAGTTTGTCAAAGTTATTTTAGAAAATGATACAACGAACAAACACAGCTAATAATTTTCACTATATTAACCTTTTTCCAACTCAAAAAGATGCAAATAGAAAACGGGTACCCAATTCAAGTTCAGAATGTATTACAAGGGGCAGCAGAAGCGGCAAAAGTGAGTCTCGCAACAAATGCAAGTATTAAAATTCTCATCTGATTGGTCAATACTACTTCAGAAACGCGTTTGTAGAAGGCTAGTGGGAACATATCTTAAAATTCAATAGTAATTAACCACAAGTAGTTTTGTGTAGGTGATATCAACGACATAATCAACGATCATACGTTTTTTGCCACCAATATCACGTGACTTTAAAATGGTATTTGTCGGACTATATATGTGGAAATATTTCCCTTTTCAGATTTTATCATGTACTATAGAAAGTAGTTAAAAGTGGAATAAGTTTACTTATCCCTCTATTCCCCAAAAATTTGTATTGCGTTTGATTGTGGAAAAAGGTATAAGTAAACTTATATCTTTAAACACAATTCCGCCCATCAAAGTTGCGTCGTACAAGTATACTTATTCCTGTTTTCACGCCTTGCGAAATCGCAATATCGATATAAAACAATTTGACTTATTCTCTTGATACACAAAACGCCGTAGAGTAAGGTTGGTTTACCAAAAAAAAGTATAATATATTGCGAATTTAATGTTTTTAAATTGTTATGGTTAACAGTGAGGGTGATAATAAACGATAGTAGTGAGCGCAAGTGCTGAAAATGCCGCCATAAACAGTTCCTTGGTTTATTTATGTGTCTGCAATTTCAAGGTTATGTATTCTAACCGCCCAAAACGACTCCAATTTTTAAGAAATTATGTTGACAATGCAAGTAATAGAGGCGAACCAAAATGTAAGTACAAAGGACATCGCACACATCTTATGGGTTTTCGGGGACCGGTCGATTTTTTTAAAAATTTGGTATGTTGTAGTACTAGGGAAAATAAGTATTTTTCATCATTGCGCAAAATCTCTAACTATACAGGGTGACCCAGTAAAGTAGGTTCGAAAATCATAAACCAAGCCTTTCTATTATCGGTATTAGCGCGCCCTGCAAGCTAAATATCGAGATTTATGTTTTCGGTTTCGCAAATAAATAGTCAGATGAGCCTAATATACTATACAGGGTAGCTGAGCTTGCGTTTTTTTTTTAGAAATCCTGCCCTATTTTTAGAAATAGTGTTACCAAAAAGGTCGCGCTGGATTTTATTCAGCTGTAACTTTTTTAATTTTTGTCCGATTTAAAAAAATGTGGTATCAAAATAAAGCCTATATCACAGGGATGTCATGAAATCTAAAAAAAATGAAAATGTGATAACATTCGAGATGGTTGAACGTGATAAAAGTATAACTTTTCATTCAATTAGGGTCTTGGATACACCAAATACACCTGAATTAAGGAGCGGTTCCTCAATTGTGAGTAACTCTAGGGGTTAACTAACCCGGTGTTAATTTCAACCTTGCAGGTTAACTGAGCATTGTGTTTCTCAAGCATCCGCTGTAGGTGGAGTTAATAAACACTGGGTTAAGCAATAGTTGGTAGCATTATTGTTTACTAGAATGGTGATCCTAACATATTTTTGATTGGTTGAAAGCAGTCACGCATGGGTCGATCGTCAAATTAGCCCATTCACAAAACTTTTTGGAGTTTGTTGTTAAGTTAATGATAAGTTCGAGTATTCTTTTTGGCGCACCATTTTTTCATTACAATTTGTTAATTTTTGAAGAGCGTGGTTAATGCAGTGTGTGTAGTCAATAGTCATGGAGAAGAAAGATATCGCAAGAGGAAAAAACTTCCTTGAATTAAAAAAATAATAATAATCAAGCTATAATATAAGCGAAATATAGGGTGCACGAGGTCAGACATGAACTTTTAATCCTTTGTAGAGAAATCCTAGTCATCGTATTTCTCGAGAGGATTAATCCTTTGGCGGATTATATGAGGCGTTTTCCTACGAAATTGTAGAAATCTTCATCTTCATCAATCAATCCATATATTTCTATTTTGAAAAAAAAATATATTACCACAAAATTGACAAATCACGGAAATGACTCGCTATTGATAAACCGGCCCTAATATAAGTAACGTATTTGATGGATACTTCACATTGTTCTCATGTCGATCGTAGCTAAAGTACCTAACAACGCGATAACTTTGCATGTGCAGTATGTGCCCAATACTGGATTCCCTCCATCCAGCCCAGGGGAGAACAAAAATGATACAAACAGAAAATCTCTGCTTACTTATCTTGTGTGAACCCCGAAAATATTTAGATATATTCGGAAAGTTTTAGTTCATGAATACTCAACAGTGAGAATAGAAAAATTAATATAATTTTCATGTAAATCGACCTAAGGCCCACTCCACCACCCCTAAGTTGGAGGTTTTCTCTTTGAATCCTTTCATGTAGGGCATTTTCAATATTTTGCACTAGTCACAACATTCTGTGTTAAACACAGATCAGATTCAAATGTCCATCCAACTTGTCTTTGTAATCTTACGAGTATTATTTGCTTCCTCAGATGTAAATTATTGACGATGTCTGGCCAAAAAAGGCGATATTTCACACGAATTCTATGAGACTTGT